GTGGATATAGCTCGCCAGCAGGCTCGCACCGATGACCTAGTTGATGTCATCATTTACCCAGAATGCTTTGTGTGTAAATAAAATGGCTCTGTCCATGTTAAAATGTATTTTAAAAAAATATACAAAACTAAACAGCCTACAGTATTTTTACAGTCTTTATTTTACAGTTAAAGTAAATGTTTAATAAAGTTTAATGTTACAACTAATCGTGGATCCCTTGAATGATTCAGATAAAACCATCTAGCTCCGACCTTTTAATGAAACAAAACAAAAGGAGATGTTATCCCTCTCTCAGCTCTTCTCCCTCCTGGTAGTCGGTGTTGTATGGGAAGTAGTACAGGTCATGTTTGACAGCCATGAGCAGCCCTGGGAGCCCCCTGCAGCCACCCAAATTTGAGGAGAAGACCACGTTCGGGATCATGTCATTTGCAGCTGGATGGGGCGACGGGATGGTCCTGAGGAGATGACCGTCCTTTAGGCTCCAAATCCTCGTGTAGCAATCCTGACCCGCTGTAAAAGCAAACAAAAACTGCTCAGGTAGGGTGTTGTACCGTCGGGAGCGTGACGAGAAGATTCTCTCTTCTGCTACCTGCTAAAAGAAGTCCTTCGCGTTCGTTGACGTGGATGGGAAGGTAGGCGTGCTCGTTGTGATGCCCTTTGTACTCCTGCACTGGCTTTGTTACACGCACATCCCACAGCTTGATCTGCAAAGGAGTTCAACCGGTCAATAATATGACTTTCTTTTTGTTTTCCTACTTACAGTACGGCCTCATCACAAGGTAAAAACACCAATGACCTGGCCCAGCATGTCGGCAGCCAGCAGGTAGTTCTCATCCTGCAGAACTCGCACGGCGGTGATGGCAGACTGGTGATGGAAGCGGCTGGCCTTCCAGCCGTGATCCCGGCGGCCGCGCTGCCGCAGGTCGATGCTGAAGATCTCCCCCGATCTGCAGCCGTTAAACAGGACGGGAACCTGGAAAGGGCACGACGGTCACCTCTGCTGCGCGAACCCCAAACCCAGAAGAACGTCTCAACCGTAAAACCCAAGGAACGAGGATCTCACTCTGTGGGCGAAGTGTTGAGCCAAAACGTCGGTGCCGACGCCGTACGTCTGCGTTCGCGCCGTCTCGGCRTCTTTCACGATGACACGGCGGGACAAACCTGCAAACAAACATGGTTAGACGAGTCGACCGGTGCTTTCGCAGGATATAAATGACAGCCGGGCTCACCGGTGCTGAAAGTCTTGTCAAACTGTGGGTTGAGGCACCAAGCACAYGACCAGGCTGTGGATATTTTGAAGCTACACAGCATCCCAGGCTGATCTGGGGATTTCAAACATTTCAAACTTTATTCAAAAACAATGAACTGTCAGTAGAAATGTCAGCTTCTCATAGTGGTGAGAACACACACGGGTTGGTTATAATATTCTTTTATAATATTCTACTGGTTATGTATAAGGCCCACAAAAACACATTACCTTTAAACAGACAAGTAAATTTTGTTAAGAGAAAGAGTTACCTTAAAGGCACAGTGTGTAGGATTTTGTCAATTCTTTTAGCCGAAATTGAGATAATCACTAAAGACAATAATAAAAAA